TGTGAGTGTGTGTGTGTGTGTGTGTGTGTGTGTGTGTGTGTGTGTGTGTGTGGTGTGTAATCTACTTTTTTACGCTATTCTCACAGAATCTATCTGGAGTTGTTGATCGTTGACCGACTAATACGCGCGCAACAGCGATACGAAAAATAGGGGCCACGCGTGTGTGCATGTGTCTGTCGAATCGCGCGATTTCACGACGCGATACTCGCGTGCCGCGCAGTCGACGCGCGAGCTCGCGTGTATTCGCGCGCTGCATCGTGACTCAAGTCGGACGTGGTTGGCCGCGTTCAGTGCCGGCGAGGCGAACGCGAGCAAGTAGTATTCGGACTTTGAGGATCAGATAGGTGCGTATATAAACGTATATACAAACGCATAGGAACGTCCCTTTCGTTCCGATTAATCTATCGCGTACCCAGCGACGTGGGCCTCTTATCGAATTTCTGCTCCGCTCCGTTAATACCGATGTTATGTCGAGATGAGATGGTACGAGACAACATCGCTGAAATGATGTTGCGTTCGCGTATCAAAGGTTCCCCAATTATCTCGTACATTCATCGGAGAAATCGGTTAAAAATAAAACGCGAAATACCCTATTTGTCATTGATCCGGAGATCGATACGTGTGAGTACGCGAGTAATTTTGCTTTTATCGTTCGCCGCCGACAAAAAAAAAACTTTGCCGATGATAAGCGTTTGCAATTACACGCTGCCTGTAATAAAGGATTAATCGGAGCTTATCGGCATGGATGATAAGGAAACAATTCAATGAAATAACTTATAACTATATTATATATCATTATACACACTGTCGATATAATTTGTTATTTTACACAGGCTTTCCTTTTTACAAATTAATATGAAGTTTATCAAAATGGTTTTTTTCTTTTCTTTTCCGGTAATTTATGATGAAGCGATCAATGTTTATAATCTGTTACGAAATGTATTTACGTATCTCACGATCAAGATAAAGAGTTTTAAGCGTAAATTAGAAATAAGTTACACGTATTTTGCGCAAACGAAAAGCACTACAAGCGCAAACCGAGCGTGAATCGTGTTGCTTCTCTGATCATGTAGCAGGATGCGATAGTTTTTTTTTAGATATATTAAATCTGGGATGCTACGCGATTACCGGAAAGATAGTTTCTCCACTTTCACAATTTCTTCGCATTTCTAAATCATCGCTTGCCTCAGATGTACATCGTGCGCGAAAAATTTTAAATAATCTTACAGATTTGCATTGCATATTGTAAATTATAAATGCAATAACGTCGTAAAACAACTCGTTAATAATGGCACGTAATTGGTGCCATTGGCAAGAAACTCGTTGAATTTATATATTATGTAAATTTAATAATAATTATTAAACACCAGTCGTGATCGTGAAACTGCCGTTCTTATATATATATATATATATATATATATATTCTCGTAATAGTAAATATTGACGGTAATAATGTTTATATTAATATTAGTTTTTATTATTACCTTTTGTTATTTACTTAATTTTTTCTATTAGATACGTACATCTATATGATAATAATAAGTAATTTCTTCACAGTTATTATTTTAATTTACCGTTGCGTAGATTTTTTTTATGTTATATAATAGTAGTAATAGATCGAAAGTGAACTATCTTCAATGTTATGCAAATAAATTGCCTTGACCGTACGTATTCTTTCTGCACACTGCATTAGTAAAATACGCAAATGAGCTTGTAACTGTCCTGATAAGAAAGTATAAGTCGACTAAATACGAACATGCCGATGAATCATAGAATGAAAAAGAGTTCATTTTCCAATATCCGTATAATGAATGCTGCGTTGTTATAAATAAAAATAATTGCGCTGTAAGAAATAGGGTGTGAAGTAGTGCGTAAATTCTAAATCATACATAAATACAAAAAAGAAATTATTTATTATTATTAATTTATAATAAATAAATTACGAAACGCTTGATATCGCTTCATTCGGGGAATTTTAACAAAATATTTTATGTTAATTCAACATGTTTTAATTTAAATAATTCGAATAGTCTAAAGTACTCGACTATAGGTTTCTAAAAAAAATTTAGATTATTCCTCGGCTTAAATTCAGGTTCGTAGAATTTCGCAGAATTAATTTTAATATCGATAACCATTTAAATTTCTGAATATTTCTTTCAACTACCAAGCCGACGGATTTTTTTTTAAGCCGACGGACTCGAATATTTTGTGAATATTTATCATCAGATTTAGAAAGACGTTTTTTTGCAAAATATTATATTCAATCTCCATTTCATTCATCATTAAAAAAAAAAAGTTTTCATTGTGATACGATTTTTATCTACTTCTGAGCAATCTGCCAGCATATACTTATCGTATATCACTCACGCCTGCGATCACAGGAACTTAAATTTGAACTTTGAGCAGCGAATGACGGACGTGCTTATTAATATAAGCATATAATGAAAAATATACATCTCCCACTTGCGATACTATAATTTGTTCAGCTCCAGACGATTAGTCATTAAATCGTCATCCGACAAATTAGTCTGCGAGGTGCGTTTATGCATCGCACAATAATCTTCGATTTTTCCGCACGAAAGCTGTATCTATCTGAAATGGTCAATGCTGTCGAAGTGATCGTCTTGGAGGAGAACCATGGTCGTCCTGCGGTATCTTTCGGTGCCAAGTAAGGTGCAGATTTGCGCAGGACGAAACGTCATACTAAAACAGATCGTGATTGGGTAACGCTATTAATAACAGGTGCTGGATACGGTTCATTGCGGAAATCTCGGCAATTTCTAATTTAGCCTATTTCAAGGAGATCAACACTCACAAGCCCGCTCACGAGCCGCTTGTAAATCCATCGACGTTGCTCGCGAAATCGCGAAAAAGAACACGCATAGTCGCGGAATTACGGATTCGAAGAAGTCGTCTCGTGAGTCCTTAATTAAGGATTTTCCTCTGGATCTTCCTCTTTAGCTTCTAATCAGTTTTGTTTGAGTCGGCGTGTTTGGTTCGCTCTCCGAATCCAAAATAAATGCGCGATACGTGAGATTATTGATCGTCGTATTATTTTGTAATATATATATATTTTTTTTAATTTATATTAATATATGTTTTTATCTAGACAGAAAAGTTCAGAAAACACTAATCTAGAAAAGTTCTAGAATCTAGGAATCTAATCTCGATTGCTTCGAGGAATTATCGTGCAGCAAGATTCCATTAGAAAAGATCAAAGAAGTATATATCGTAGGTATTCGATTGTAGCCTTGAAAGGGATCTTATCTTAACTCGATAAAAAAAATGAAATAGCTTCACGTTTTTCACGATATTTGTCTCTCTCCATTTTTATCGTAATAAAACATTCGAAATCTTACAATCGTATTGTAATCACATATCCCATTTGTCGTCATCAGATATTCACAATCAGTGACTAGACTTTGTGCGAGTAATTTCGCTTAATCTCGACACGTATGAAAGTCTGCGGAAAAATACACGGAAATAATGTAATAATGATAATAAATTTTAATTTAAAAAGCAAACGATACAATAAAATTTTATTATCGTCGTGATTATATCGATGTGATAACCGTGTTTGTGAAGTCGTGGTTTGAAATATATAGTTATTTCCTTGAGGAAGAACAAAACGGCCTTATTACCCTTTTTCTCGGATGTATTCTTGAGATATTCGAGGAAAGAAAAAAATGGCTGAGATTGAATCGTCGGTCCCAGAGGGCTCAAAAACCCGCAGACATGCAACCTCCACGCAAACATCTGTGCGGTAAGAATCTCCGCGAATCTAATTGGAATATCTATCTCAATAATAATCATTTCTATCGATTCTTCAGTGACCTCTCTCTGGAATCTCCTCGAAAATTATCAAAGATTAGACATAATGTATTTAAAAGATATCAAATAGAATTCTAAATAGATATCAATTCTAAAAAGATATCAAATAGAATTTTACTTTTAGAATTATATATAAAATTTATATATATATATATATATATATATATATATATATATATATTATATATATTATTTATTACTACTACACTACACACACACACACACACACACACACACACACACACACACACACACACACATTAAATAATATATTTAATATTTTAACTTATAGTATTCTATAAAGTCTTTAATAAAATTATTCTCGGTACTTTTTAATAATTTCGAAAAATATTTCTTTCTTATTTATTCAGTTTAATCAGTTTTATTCTTTTCTTTATTTTTCTTTTCACATTTCATTTTGGGATAGATGTGGTATTAAATAGAATATAAGCGGTAAAAATATTATTTATTTTTATGAATGCTACAATGAATTGATTACTTCAGGCAAATATCGTAACAGGAAAAATTCCGGTCTGAAATAGTAAAAGAATAAAAAATTGCAAACGTAGGGAATTTTTCGACAGTCAAGTAAAGATTTAAATATGAAGTAGGTCAAGTATACTTTATTGCACGTGTGTTATAGATATAACTTGAAGTATTTAATGTTTTCAAAAATTTTCAGGTATTTAGAGTGATATGCTAAAACTTTGTTTTACCGTTAGAAAGAATCAATGTGTTTTGAAAAACTTAATGTGTTTTCCATAATTTTTATTTTGGAATAATTTGCTAATCAGAATAAACAATGAAGCGAATGACATAATTAAGCGGTCGTTTGCTTAAAATCAATATTCGAAACAATAGCGTGTCCAGTCATCGTGCGTTCTTCGTCCAGTGATTAACACTTTCGCTTATAAAAAATACTGCAGAGTATAACGTAACACGAGTTCAGTGCTGTTACATAAAGGTATTTTTTATAAATAATGATCTAAGGGGACATCTCTCGTTCCGTGATACACAAAAGATATACATAAAAGGAAAAATGGACGAAGAACTAAAAGACATACGGTATTAAAATTTCTAATCTCTTGGGACTAAAACCTGGAATATAAAACATAACATACACATTGTATATTTCATAAATAAAATATAAAATATAGTACACATTTTATATCGTACGTAACAAAAAATAAAATGAAACAAATAAAATGAACAAAATTTCATGATTACGCGTGATATCTAAATATTGCTATCTTAAATTTGATTTTTTAATAACTAATTTTTTTATAATTAATTCTAATAATATGTTAAACTGTTGCCAATTAAAAATCTATTATTCGGACGCAATTCTGCAATAAAAAAAAGTTACTTTCTCTAGTACTTGGAATCTCTACTTAGAATCACACTATGCATTCCGTGTGCGTTAATTCTAGGACACCCTATATAAATTTCAATTTTTATTATACAATGGATTTTTATTTTAATTTAAATGCTTTATATATTATATAAGAATTTCAAATTATCAATGATACACATTTTAAATTACTGAATCATGGTTTGAACAGCTTTATTATTTATTGCTTTATTATTTCACTTTTGATTTTTCGCACACTTTTAGACTCGCTCCGTCGAGCCGCAATGCCTGTATATTTCCTTTCATATCGTCATTTCTGTTTGTTTCATGTACTAATCATTCAATTACATAATTACGTCACATAAAAAGAATTAGTTTTATTTATAAATTGTGATGCCGCTATGATATATATAGAAGTTCCACAACTTTGCGTAATTTTAAAGTTTCGAAAAAAATGTTGAACTTTTGAATTTCAATAAGTTAAAGGTAAATTTTCAAAAATCATAACTTAAAAGAAAATCTTAAAAAAAAGTCGGTTCTTCACAATGTTCAAACGGTGAACTTTTTGAAAGAAGACTTGGAATTTTTTTTAAGAAAGGACAACAAAAAATTCGGAAATAATTTCAATCAGAATTTAAAGACTGCAATTTAAAAGAAGAGCTCTTCTAATTCCAATATTTCAAAGATATTCTAAAAATTCAAATATTGAATACTAAGGCTTCGAATCGAGGAATCTTCAAAATTGAAATTCAAAATCGACGCTTTCTAAAGAAAATACTAATTCCAAAGATGTATTATGGAATCTGTTCAGAATGGACTTGAAAATGGAATTCCGAATTTCATAATACGTCTCTGAAATTAGTTTTTTCTTTAGAAGACTTTGAATTTCAAATACTTTGAAGATTCAAATCCATTTATTAATCTATTTCTACAATGTAAATTAACTTTAATCTCGGTTTAATTTATCTTTCATCTTATTTTAATTTTAAGAATTAGAAAAAGATAAAGAGTAAATTAAACTGAGATTAATGTTAATTTACATTGGTGGAAATGAATATAAATCGATACAAAGGTCGTTTTACCTTTCTTGGCATTCAGTGAGTGAAAACAAGAACAAAACTGTGTCAACTTGTCATTGAATGGAAAGTATCCGGTCTTCAATATTTGAATTTTAAGAATGCCGAGGCTTTGAAGTATCGAAATTAGAAGATTTTTCTTTTAAATTGCGGCTTTTTTAGATTCTGATTAAAATTATTATTTTCTAATTTTCCATTATCATTTTTAGAAAAAAAATTCCAAATAAAAATTCCACTCTCGAATCCACTTCGTAATTGATACATCTCTTGTTACGCTGGTGTTTTCTTTCGAGGATTTCGCGTCAGTTTTCCGTCAGGATTCCGTGTCAGTTTTTCTTGGGAGAGAAATCTGATGAAAAATGAATGGGGACAAATACTATTCAAAATCCAATACGGAATACACACGTACTCTAATATATACATATATGCCGACATATATGTCGACAGACATCGAGTGTAGAAAGTGTACTGCGGTGCAATGGAAGAAAAAAAAAAGAAAAAGAGATGGAAGCGGAGAACCCGCGCGGGTCCGCGGTTCGTGTATACGTCTTCCGACGTATGTGTCATGAGATTTTCGCGCGAGAATGTGAAAAAATCGCCGTATATTTCGCCGATCGTGGTGAGTCGCGCTGCGGGCCGTCCGTCAAGTCTCTCCCCGTCTCTTCGCTCTCGCGAACGTCACCGTGGCGAGAGATAAACAGCGTAAGACAGGTTAGCGGTACACCCGCTATATATATATATATATATATATATATATCTCGGATTTCGCGTAACGTCGGCCGCCAATTACGGTACGATACACGACTCCTTTGCGGGGGAAGATACGCCGTCGGTGAAATCGTTGAAATCGCTTATTTACGATCCGCCTCGAGCTCCAGCTGACGTATATACGGGGTGTCCGTGAAGTAGCGCAGAGCGGGAACGATGCGAGGGCTTATGCATTAGGTCTCGTCTGGTTTGGTCTTAATTACAAGTTTAAGATACAACAATTGGAATGGTTGTCCAGGTTGATTTTCATATGTCCGCGACGACGATTCTGATCATCGGCAAATTGGTAAAATTGGATCCGCAAAAAGGCTCGTCTTCGATCACCCGTTACATGGCATCTCCCTGGATAATTTTTGCATGTGTCAAACGCGTATTCGCTGTTCCGCGACTGATTCTGCACGTAATCACTGTTCTTTGCTGTTCTTCCCGCACGATTCCGCCCGTAACCACATGTGTTACTCATATAAGAAGAATTCTCTTTAAGTCGTTAATATTAATAGAGTCTAATAATTTGTCCGTTGGAATAGAGTTTAATAATTTGTCTGTTGGAAATCAAGAGAGAGCTTTTCAAATCATTCCTCAAGTCATTTCCAAGCCATTTGTGTAAAAAAATATATATACAAGCTTGTTTGATGTTGTGTGCAAATAGTAATCAGTCATACTGCAGAAAATTAATGCAACTTTCTTTTTCATATTTGTATAAGATATTCCATAAATGTTGTAACCTATTGCAAATATATGATTTTCTATTAATTAAAACATTGCACAAGTCATAAGAAACTTCTCTTTAGTTCTTTGATAATAACAATAATGAATCCTAATAATTGATCTATCTGTTAGAAATTAGACAGATAAATACAAAGTTTTTAGATTTTTTTTAAAGAATTTTTGATGATAAAATATACATAGTTTGTTTGACTTGTTTGTTTTGTATTAATGATGATCAATTATATTGTAAAAATTAAAAATAATATAATTTGTTTGTTGTAAATATATATCTGTCATATACAATATACAAAATATTATTTTAATCGAAATAGTTTTATCGCAAAATATATATAATTTGTTTGATTTTTTGCAAAAATAGTAAACGACCATAACAACCTTAAGCTTTGTGATAAAGTTTTTTTCTCCTATATTTATGAAAGAATTCATAAAATATTATAATTTTATTGCAAATATACCATTCTAAAATTTATCTATTTCATAATATTTACAAGACGTTTGTTACATGACTTTTGAATGCTGTTATATATTGTAAACAATTTAATCTTTTATTACATAAATAGGAAATGTAACGTTACATATACTTGTAATAATTAGAAGAGAAATATTAATTTTACTTTTTATATGTTTTCAGACCTGTGGTACCTGTAAAAATG